TAAATGATTTGTCTCAATGGAAAGGAAAAGAGAACATGAACTCTCTTGAGTCTCATTTAGAGCACGGGGTAGTGTTGCTTTTCAGCCTCTTGTGTTTGAAATTAGCATTACAACAACAGAAACGATCCTGACAACTCCAGGAAAATAACCTGCCAAAATGTTTAGTCACCTTTTTAAAACTCTGTAGAGAAAACTATTTAGATCAGACCTTGAAAGCTATTTACTTTTTTCTCACTTGATTAGAAACATAGGCAAGTGTTGCACTGTGTGACGAAAAAATGTTTTAAATTTGCCAGACTACAAAAAATCTGCAAACTTATTTTGTAACATCACATGTGATTTTTACTGAGTAATTTAGAAAGATGTTCCTGAGAAACCTTCTCAAGTCATTAATACACAGATTATTTTCCTCTAATTTTCCCCTTAGTGCTTCCGTACAAAGCACTTCAGCAAAAACAGTACATTTCTCCCGAGGAAGGTGTGACCTTCTTGTTAAATGTGTCATCTTGTCACCGCTTCTTTGATTTATACGACACCATGTGTCACAAAACCAATAACCGACCCTCCATGGCCTCGCCTGCAGTCTTTTTCAGATCGCCGTTTGGCCTTTTGCTCCGCAGCGTGCTAGGATGCCACTTTAACATTGCTTGCTATTTTGAAATCAGACGTGAGTGCAGCCTCCTCCTCTTTTTGTTCTCCCAACGGACAGAAGAGGGGCTTTGACCTTGAGGGATTCTTTACATGTCTGAGCAATGTGTTGGCTGTTAAGGACACAGCATCACACACACGTAGATACACACCAATATCTCCTCTGTAGACATGCTCAACAGCCATCTTGACGCCACTTAAACCTCTCAGCTTATTCACTTCAGTGTGTAGTCCACTGCTCACACCCCGGCCTCTCCTGTGTGAGTGTTCGCAGCAGCGCTCCTGCCAAGCGTGTCTGTCACATTAATAGCTGGTATGTTGGAGATTAGCACACCATCACACTCTGACTCAGAGGATGACAGAGGCTTTGTATAGATTTTGTATTTAGTGCTCGTAGTTGGCTGCGGGACCTTACAGACATTTGACACCACACAGGACCACATGCGCGTTAGCAGCCACACGCTCCACATGCTCTGCTGTATTACAGGACTTAAACAAATAATGTCATCTCAGCTAAGTTTCTGAATTGTTGGCATGAAGTCTGACAATTTTCCAAAAGTGCAGTGATTTACTTGTGTAAGATTTTTTTGTAACGCTTCAAGGTTTTCAGACTAATCGAATTATTTATTTTTTGTCTATCACCATGTTGTCAATCTCTTAGAGCCTTAACATTCTAAATGTGAGTTTTGAGGGTGATATGTGATGCTAAAGTGGGGCAGCCAAATACAGTCAGTCAAGATAACACCCCCAAAATATCCCTCTGTGTTGTTCCCTGGTTAATAAAGTTATTTTAAGATTTTCTACCTGGGAAAAAGGAAATAAAAGTATAATTATTTAGATTCTTTACAAGGAAATAGATAATGAAAATATATGATGTTTTTTCCTTTTGAGTTTGATTCTGTTGACGTTTAATTAAAGTAAACATGAAGTGGCCTTGACACTGCGCTGCACGTGGTGTTTGTGGCTCGGTTTAACCCTGTGTGTCGTAAAAGTCAGAGTTGTTAACCCACAGCTGTCTGAGACTCAGAGTGAAGCCGCTGATGGACTGGTTTGTTCCTCTTTCTCCAGGTATGGGACACTAATGTCATGAAGGAGCCACTAAAGCTGGGGACCACGACAATCCAAGACTCTTCCTTTGACTTTGTCTTAAGAACCAAAAAATGACCACCCCAGAGGGACCCCCAGAAAACGGAAGGACAGGAGACACGCTGTCCACGCACTGTACCGAAACAGCATCATATTTTTGTACGGTTGCCACGTGTAGTGCCTTTGCACAATGATTTTTGCTTTCGAAAAGAAACAAAATGCTGTGAAATTTGGACATTTGTAATTACTATTACTAATTACTCTATACGATCCTGCCAGGAAGAAAAAAAACCTAATTAAATTTAGATTTATGTGTTGTTCTCCATGCCGACGGTTGATAGAAACGGAGTAGATGAGTTAAAAGTTTCCACATTCCAAAGAGATGGTTGAAATCCGTTCTCTCCCTCCCACAGTTCATTTTCCATCTCCTATTTTATTTATATTTAAAGCAAAAGCTTCACACATTGCTATTTTATTCAACGTTCACCAGTTCAGGATAGAAATATAAGCACTTGTAGATTTTAGCTGATCTCACTTTTATTATGTCTTACCAATAGTGCAGCAATGGTCTGAGTAATATATGTTAGCACATGTGATGTTTTGAATATCATACTGTATCTTATATAACATCTTTATACTCGCAACAAAAGGTATTTTTTGCTTATTTTGTATTCACCAACAAGGCAGTTAATTTCGGTGGTGATAGGAGTGTTGAATATTCAGAAGGCCATTATGACTTTTATTATCCTTCGTGTCATTTTATTTATGTTTTAATGTGTTTTGTCCTTTTCTATAATTCTAGCTGTTTTTGTAGCTTTTGTACCTGTTTGATCACTTTAAAATCTTCAAACATTCCTCCTTAAGAAGCAGCTGCACACGGTGCCTTCGCTGTAGGTTTTACAATGTAGGAAATCGGCATTCCAACCCACTTTTTTTTTTATCTACCTTAACTTCCACTAACTTCTCTATTGCATCTATGCACACTCTTATGCTCAGCGATCATTGAGGGCATACGAAGTAAAATCAGGGTGCCTAAGCATATAGCAAGAAACTAGTACAATGCAAGGATATTTACCACTATGTAAGTCTTCTGGCATATGATTGCAATGGAAACATTTATGACAGCTGAGGTACAGTACATGATAGCCTCAAAGCAACGCCGTATAATATTAAGACTTGTGATTTCTCCTGCTTATCTTTCACTTACATGGTCTTAAGTAGCACATTCCCTTTTATAGTTTTTGCGCGGCACAAGCTTTGATAATATTAACGATTTGCCGGGGCATTAAATTGATGTTACTGCTCAAAAGTGTGACAATCACATTCCATGGCTCCTGAAAAGAGCAGGGGAGCTTGACCAAAACATTTTCAAGCGTGATTTAATGTGACATTTATGTTGTTGTTGTTTTTTTAAATACAGTGGTTTCATAATGCCGTACTGTTTTCGTTTTTTACAACCTTTGTGTCCATTTTATGTTTTTTAAAGTTCTTCCATGTTTAACCAGACACTTGTTTGTGTAGCGCGAAGCCTATGCAAAACACACTATCTGTAGCCTCTCTAAACACTCCCAATGTCATACAAGTGGGCAGTTTCCAACTGGATGAATGTTTTAAACATTGTACGCTTCACTCAAAAACAGCAATAAAGACATTGAGGTATTCCACATGGTTAAGTTTCCTTCCATCATTTTACTAAGACTGCATTATATACTGAAAAGACCTATTTGGTTTAAGGTTGTGCTATTGTTAACTCCTTCATATTTAGCATATAGGTAGTATGTCTCAAGATCATCATATGTTTCTCGCTGTCAACTTCTCATCAGCTCAGAAAAACTGCTTTGTGATGGTGCATCTCAACTTGATCCAAGAGGATTTTAAAGTAGTTAAATTTGCTTTCAAAGTAGGAGAATTGACTCAACCCTTAAAGAAACATATCATCCCTCAGTTTATTACAAATATTCAACAGTTGTAGATGCAGGGATTTTTATTGAGAGCAAAGGGCTACACAGCTCTAATCCGTAAAGTAACAAACTGTAAAATGTAGTGTAGTACTGTAGCCTACTCAGAAACTTTCATTCATTTTCAAAACTACCCTATCATTGGCTGATAGGATAGTTTTGAAATGTGTGTTTTTATTCCACTTTCCTGGACTGGGCCACAACAATTCTCTGTGTCAGGTGCCTTAAGGTCCTGAAAACAACGCTATGCCATCCTAAATAAATCTTTAGTGATAAAAAATGGTAGGCATTGATTGACTGTAACCCTGCTGCATTCTGATTGGCTGTCCACAGGTGCTGTCGTTGTTTGCGCTAATTAGCAGAAGTTAGTGTTTCTGAAAGACGGATACTGCGGTCATGGGACTAAACAAAGTGTTGCACACCAGCCGCGGGATACTTTTTATAAAACAAACCTCTGGTAAAATAATATAAATGTAATGGGGAGCGGTTGTTCGTGAAAACATGGCTAACTGCTAATGTCGAAGAGGAGGACGCTTCTCGGCTGCACTTTACGTGGGGAATTGAGCAGTACATTGAGGTAAGTGTGGGATTATCACCTGAGTGGGAAATGTGAAAAAAGAGTCAAGTATGTTTTGTAATATGTGGTAGAATACTTTGGTTTTCTGAGCTAGCTAACTGTGTTAATGTGGCTAAGTTTAATTGAGAGTTAACTGGATGTCAAAGGGAGTATATAGACTTGTGTAAAAAAAAAAAAATGACCATTTTCTTATTTACTTTCTTATGAAATAACTTACTATCAAGACAATTTCAAAATATGAGTTCATTTTCAGCATTTTTTGGTGCCAAATACAATATGTTTTTCCCTGCAAGTTAGACAAAATATATTACATACACGAAAAGTATGAATGTTACAAAAACACAACATGTTTTATTCTTCTGCTGCCTTCAGGTGCTGTCAGGAATTATGTAACAATCAGTGTGTTGCGGGCCCTTTCTACTGTACATAGCCTACTTCGACCTCAGCAACACATAGCGTCTCTCTGCCAGTTTAATTTCAAAGAAAATCAACAACATTGTACCAACTACTCAATGATTTTTCGAGATTATTTTATCGTCAACTGAACAATACCGTGAGGTGGAGTTTGTATTTCCAATGTCAGTCCTCGAATGTAGCAGTTTACAAGGTGCCCTTAAAGGCAGCATTCCTATCCAGGTGTAACTCATCAACTGCCTCCAACAATAGAACTGACAATCCCAACCAATCACGGAGGAGATATGTAGTCACATGATGGACAGGGCTGTATTAAGTGTGCTTATGGTTGTGAGAGGATGATTGAACTTGTCTTTGTCTGGATTTCAAAGTACCAGAACTGAATTTGCTGCCAATCCCATCTCTTCCTCAGGGATAATCGGGAGGTAAGACGTGTGCATGACCTCTGGGTGCTTGACAACAAAAAGGTCAACTCAAATGTATTTTGAATTGATATTGAATTTAGTTAATACTAAGCAGCTTTTAACAAATTGATATATTTGACAAAAAGTGAATGATTTTAACAAGGTCACGCATGCTGATTTCAATTGCCCCTACTGTATGTAGATTTGATGATGGCTTTTCTTCAGAATCTGAGCAGTACACATGCTGATTTAAAGGTGCTAAGCTTGCCCCTGAGATGCTGTGTTGGTAGCATGCTTTGGGCTTTGACTTAATGCTGCCTAATGCTGAAACCAGCACCCGCAGCATTCCTGCCGCTGTGGTATTTTCCTTTTCTACCCAGACGGGGACTGACCGCACGCATTAAAGCAAATACACGTTTAATACCTCTGCCATGACAACCCTCATACACTGTGCATTCTTTCTGGGTTTCCAGTCACTTTAACCAGATGGCATTCTTCACTTTCTCCTCTTCGAATGTCTCTTTCCTGATCCTTTTGTGATGTCAACTGCTCAATGTGAAGACGCAAGAAACAGCCACACAGGGAAGCTAGGCACCATGATGTTGGATATGTTGGCAGATTTGAAACAGAAGCATGACTTTGGGCGGTAACCATATACAGCAGAGGTGTAAATATGGCATGCAGAGGCTGAATGTGCAGCTGGCCCTTTGAAACGACTTGGAACGAAAGAATGGGATTGTAGCCAGGCAGGAGGAGGGAGTGTGGAACTTTCTACATCGCACCCATTCAACATGTATTTCAAATAATTAAACTCAATACTTAATATGTTTAAGTAGCAAGTCACCCTCCTGAGATGCATTGTAAAAAATGTTCCCCATGCAGCTGACCTAACCGTGGTGACATAAATAGCCTGTCTGAATAAGCACATTGGTTTACTGCGAGTATGGAGAGGTGAGCCAAACTCATTGTCTGGAGGAGAAGCTCCACACCTGTTCAAACGCACATATATTTATTCTTAAAAATAGATCTCCCTCAGCCTTCTGACAGCGGTTTTTATGATCTCGTTATTCCAAAACACGTGGAAACAATCGTAGGGTTGTTGTCCAAGGCTGACATGTAACTGATATATTTATATATATATAGGGACTTTTAAGATGCCAGTTGAATCAATCCCTGTAACCTTGAAACAGACATTCTGTTTGGAGGTCGACTCCTCAAGTAAACTCCTTTAATGACCTTTAAGTTGTTAAAATCTGTTTTAAAGAGGACACATTATGGGCATTTCCATGTTCATATTAGTATGTTGTGCCTCTACATGCTTTAATGTTCAAAAAGCTCTTTATTTTCCTCATACTGCCTGTGCTGCAGCACCTCTTTTCACCCTCTGTCTGAAACCAGAGCCCAGTCTGCTCTGATTGGTTACAGGGTCTCCGCGGGGTCTTAAAAAGTATTAAAAGTTGATAAATCAATTTAGCGAAAATGAAGGCTATTAAATGGCATTTTCCAAGGTATTAAATGTTGTAGCTTGTTTTCAATAAGTATATCAATTGTCCAAAGAGGTTGTATTCTACAGTTTGCCTGAATGTAATCATTGCGTAGGTGTGTAGTGTGATTCTGTGTAGTTTATTTATGGCATCCCGTTGGATTTGACGTCATCTGAACAGGACATCGCACGCTCACTGCTTGATAGCGCGCGAAGGTCCGTTTACGCCGGTTGTTAAACAACATCGTTATGGGGAAATGCAAGTTTGCGTCCAAATGGTTGGAAGATAAGGAGGAAGGACAATCAATACTGTATATAGTAAAGTGTGTCGCCAATGTAACCGGTTAAAACTCAAATTGGCGATGAGGTCTTAAAATGTATGGAAAGGGTCTTAAAAAGGGTCTTAAAAGGTATTACATTTGACTTCAGGATTCCTGCATATACCCTGGGTTAGCTGGCCGGCTCTGTTGTGATTGGTCAACCGTTTAAAGATGTCCCTCATTAGCCTACCACGTACAATGTGTTGGATCGTAGCCAATAGAAGCGGAAGTGTTATATAGTGATGTCATTAAGTTACACAAGTGAACAAATGCGTTTCAGGCAGAGTATGTGTGGAGTTCTCTGGGCGAACTTTGGGATTGTAGCCTTTGCAGACCATTTACATGCACACAAACACACAACAGGAAAGTGAAAACACCCCCAAAACCTTAAAAGGGCCCCTTTAAACAGCATGAATCAGAAAAAGGATAATGTGCATGAATATCAGACTTGTTATGATGGACATGTCTCGCAGCGTACCACTCCAGAGCCTTTTGAGCACCTGGAACATTGTTTAGGAGTGAACATATCTGAGCCAGCATGAAATGTTCGGCTTCAGAGGCGCTCGGTCCGGGTGGTTTCAGCGCTGCTCAGACTCCAGCCGGCTGCATTGAGCGCAGCCAACAGGAAATGGCTGAGGATTAGCCTGGAGCTGTTCAAAGCCTCTGCTCTGTGCCCATGGTTGAATCATTTTCAATTCTACAATTGCTCCAATCTTTCAACATGTAGCCGAGGTTTTGGTTTAGTTGTTTGCACAAAGGTGCTGAAAGGAGAATAAAAGAAGAGAGATAGAAACCATCTGTCCGAGGGAAAGGAATCTCAGGGGTGGTAAAAACACCGCAGTCGATAAGACAAGGGGAATATATCAAGAAGATAAAAGATACAAAACATGGCAAGAAGAACATTAAAAAATAAACATAACCAGATGTGTATGTGTGAGAGTCACTTATAAAACTTATTTTACTATCTCAAAACAAGGACTTCATCTTTTCTGTATGCCAAAGTGGTGATTCTTTGTTTGCTTTCCCTCTTTGATGCAGGTCATTGGAGTTGAAGATGTCCGGAGAAGAAGAAGTCGTGGAGGAGATGCTGTAAGTTACATCCATTGCATTTAAGTAGCGTCTCTAGTGTTTTAAGTAGAATCTACTCACAGATCTGAGCACCCGATAGCTGTAAAGGTTCACAGCAACATCTCTTTTCTTTTGCAGGGAGGAAGGTAAGTAAGCCTTTGAGAGCATTCAGTGTTTTTTTGAAAGCAGAATGTCACTTTCAAGCGTGTGTAGCTAGACGTAGCTGACCTTATTATGTCTGCTCAGAGGAAGAAGCCCAGCAGGAGGAAGGTAAAGCTTCTGCACGGCTTCATGCGTGTGCCTTGTTTACCGTCTGCTGTCTGATCAGATCATATGTTGTGTGCATGCTGTGTAATGTGTGGTAGAAGTCTGTGCTTTGGTTTTTGATGGGAGACGACAGGTTTTCCATCGTCATTGACTGGTATACTGTGTTTTTATAGTGCGTGTGCTTTCTGTTTGATCCTGACACTTCATTTGTCAGCTTCCTGTGAAACAGTAACTTATTAACTGAATTATCTGCAATGTTTGATTCATAAATCTTTCAAATTGTGATCTGACAAAAGTTGCATGGAAAGTTTTCTGAAGTCGCTGCCAAGTGAAGTCTTGGCTCGCTCTGATGTAATTGTGTATATGCTTATAGGATTGCATTCAAGATATTTAACGTATGCCAGAATCTGGTCAAAGAAGCTTTGTGATATTTCTTGGTAAAGGAAAAAGCGTTTGAGCATAAGTGCTGGAAAGTACATTATCTTTAAACATTTTATCCTTTAGTTTGTGTGTTTCCATTTGAATATAATACTTCATACCTTTAGCCCTCTACATTTCAGAAGGAGTATTTACTCCACGTTGGACATTAAGCGGACAATACTTGTGGGCTTTTACTAAAGTAGGATTTTCATTAGTTTTGAATTGCCACTTAAACTTGAGAAAGGACCCCTTTACCTGTTCCACCGCTGTGTAGTGTTTGATAAATATAATTGGAAATGTGAAAGCTGAACCAAAATGTGGATTAGATGATTCCTGTTACAGCTCACAGGCTCATCATCTGATCCCAGATCAGTTTAGCTCAGTCAGACACCAGCAATAGATTCAGTTCTTCCCAAGAGACGATATCACAAAGCTCAGAGTCTGACCATCGACCCATCAATCCATACTTTGTTCACTCAGTCATGAATCCAACAAGAGAAGGTTTGCATGACTTACCTTTGTCAGTAAATCTTTAATTTAAATGTACACACATCTGGCATATTGTTGTTTTTCCAAGAATAGCATAACTTGGCTTTATTACTTGTTGTTATATAGTTGTGGAAGTTGAAGTAGAAGAAGCTGCACCTGAAGTAGAAGGTAATTGTCCTCTTTAAATATGACTATGCACCATACTGTCTGTTTTATAGCACGTTATAATATGATAGTATAATAATAGTTTGTGTAGCTCTGCTTGTACCATCATGAATCTGACATGCATTGCATACTCTTTTATCATTTGAACACAGACTCTTGTGCTCATCTGCTCATTACCGACTCTTTTCCTACCTCATTTAATCCTAAACCATTAATTTCCCTGTTTGAATATTAGCTTTTGTATCTTCAGTCTTTGCTAATCACTGAATACATTTGTGAAGAATTTGACATCCACTTAGACAAATGTACCGTTTGCATGCAAGTAAAACCCAGCCCAAAACCCATTTTAGCATATTTAATTTAATGGGATTTTCTAAAACGTTTTAACACCTTGTTATTTTTATTAAACCAACATTTCTAATTATATAATTGACAGAAATGTTATCTTATATAATGTCCACTGTAAACATCTAATCATATTTTCACTATTTCACACCACCATAGAAGTTCCTACGGCAGAAGGAAATGACATTTTATGTTCTAATGTACCATATAATATCCATCTTTCAATGGTCCAATCTTTGTCATGAACATTTACTAATAAACGTTTCTCTTTTTCTTGCTTTTATTATACATGCAACTGATTTCCTCCACAAAGAGCCTGCAGAAGAAGGTAAAGCACACTCTGCAGCTCCAATACATATATTATGTCAAGGTTCAAGGCTTTTATTAGTCATACAGTGTAGTTGTTATGACGATGAAAATCTTAGGTCACAGGCTCCTCCAGCAGTGCAACACGATAAAACACTTCTTGTATGGCACACCCCTATAATCTTTATCAGTGTGTTTTGTCCCTCTTGTATTCGCTGTTTGTCATGAACATGTACTAATGAACTTTTTCTCTTTTTCTTGCTTCTTTATTCTAACAACGTATTCCTCCCAAAGAGCCTGCAGAAGAAGGTACAGCACCCTGCCTCTGTTAGACCTGCATGTTAGTGTGACTGAACATCACTCTGTGTGCCTCCACCATGTGCACAGTGCTTTAGTCGGGGCAAGACAACCTTAGTGCGGAGGGGAACAGTTTCAATCTCTTTCAATTCCTTATAAATCCATAAGAGGCGTAATATTATTCCTCATGCCTAATACTTATTCTGTTAATGTACTTTTCCAAAGAAATGCCTCCTTTGTGCAAAAGTAAACAAAGCTTTCATGCCTTGAAACGCCTAGAGCACTAAAATCCACCCAGAATGACAAAGCAAAGAGATATTCTTTAGACTTTAAAGAAGTTTTTCATATCAAAATATAAGAAGTAGAGGTCTAACCTGAGTGGAATAGTGTTTTCAAACAAACTACATGTATTAGTCCTCTGCAGCCGATGCACTAACATGTCCTTTTGTCCTTCCTGTAGAGGCTCCAGCTGCAGATGAAGGTACTGTAACTCAGATGTTTGTTAAATAAACACCATCATCAAAACATTAGTTTGTTCTTCTTTTGGTAACTGTGATTCTCCTTTTTTTTATAATAGATGAATCCAAACCCAAACCCCAAAAGTAAGTCTTTTTGTTTTGAATCTAAATACATGAACAGATTCTGGATGAACCTGTCATCTAAATATCTGTTTGTAACCCTGACATATTGTTTTAGGTTAATGGCTCCAGTGTTGACTGTGCCCAAGATCCCAGAGGGAGGAGACAAAGTGGACTTTGATGTAAATGATGACTCCATTTTCATTTACATACAATTGTTATTTCTTTGTAGTGACGTGTCTGATTGTTATTTGACTGTCTGAGTTTCTACAAATAGGTCTCATTTGAGTTTGCCTAGAATCTAGATATTTGGCTCCATCTCTTATAATCTAGAGGCGAAATTATTATAGTACTTTTATAGGACTTACCCTTATTTGTAATGCAGTCACTCGAGGTCCTCAATAGTATGCAATACAAGCTGTGTGTGTGCGCAGGACATCCACAGGAAGCGTCTTGAGAAGGATCTGACGGAGCTGCAGTCTCTGATCGAGGCCCACTTCATCCAGAGGAAGAACGACGAGGCCGAGCTCCTCGCTCTCGTCAACAGGATCGTAAGTCTCCCAGGAGAGCGTGACGATCACTGGAGTGATGCAGCACCCGGCAAACAATAACTGTGTGTGTGTGTGTGTGTGTGAGAGCAGGAGAAGCGTCGCACAGAGAGGGCTGAGCAGAAGAGGGTCCGGGACGAGCAGGAGAAGGACAGGCAGATTCGTATTGCTGTGAGTCCCCGCTAATCACTTTTTATTTCAGAACATTACCCAACATATGATACATTAAGAGCGTCCAAATGACACTATAGTTTCTTCTTGCTTCATAAATACAATGTTGGTGTCAGGCGTGTGTGTGTGTGTGTGTGTGTGTGTGTGTCCTGCTGGGAATCCGCTCTGTGATTATATGTTATCCTACACAACAGAGCGCAGATACTCTTGATGCTTTCTCTATCTTTTTCATTTGTGCTTTGACAGATAAACATACTGCCCCCTGGTGCTTTCAGTATACTCTAGTTTACTGATAAGGAGTTACACAACAGCCGTGTGCAGCTTCAGCTCAAAAACACAGATGTTGATCAACTTGAAGTGTTTGCTTTGGGGGCTCAAAGAATAGAAATAAATCAAAAGTGATGGTAACCGCTCATCAGCTGCCATCAAAACTACTGATCGCCATGGCATATTAGCTCCTTGTTTTGGCTTTATGCTACATTTACTGTCACTGTTATCATAATGCCTTTTCCAGTAAAGCAATACAACATTGAAATTCACTCGATAATAAAACTTCTCCAGATTTGTATACTTGTTATGATGCTATAAAGGTGGTTAAACAAAAACTAAACTCTGAAAATGTACTTAGAGAACCACAACTGTTCTGTAAATACCATACGCATCCTGTGTCTTAGTACATACTAGTTAATATGTATTAATGTTATTACTTTTGTTCACCTGCCCGGGGATGAAAGAGCTATCGGCTGTATCCCTGTATGATACTCTATTCAACTTATACATTAAATACATGTACATTTATTTATGTCTGTCCAACAGGACGAAAAGGAGAGGAAGGAACTGGAAGACGCGCGTAAGAAGCATGATGGGGACGCCAAGAAGAAGAAGGCTCTGACCAACATGACTCATCAGTATGCTGGTGTCCAACAGAGGGTCAGTCATCACGTACAAATACACAGGAAACTGTTTCTCAAAAGAGATGAAATGTAGACAACCACTGTTACCTCGATCATAAATATGATGCACTATAATCAATAGGATCCGATACAGACTTCATGGCTTCTTCGATATTATCTTTTTCTTGTATTCTCTCATTTGATCAATTCTCCTCCACCACAGGATGGAAAGAAGGGAGCGAAAAAGCAGACGGAGAGAGAGAAGAAGAAGAAGATCCTGGCAGACAGGAGGAAGCCTCTCACCATCGACCATCTCAGCGATGAGAAAGTCAAGTAAGGATGCTATGTTTTATTTGATTTGAAGTTATTATCCATAGGCTAAGAGTTTTACAGTTTTGATGTTGGCTTTTAGTTTTCTGTTACTGAATGTATGTATTGTTTGGTCTAAAGGGAGAAGGCCAATGAGATGTGGCAGTGGCTGTTCACTCTGGAGTCAGAGAAGTTTGACCTCAGCGAGAAACTGAAGAAACAGAAATATGACGTAAGTACTTTGCCTCAGGTTGTTCATGTGAAAACTGCAGGAAAAACCTACTTTTAAAGCAACAATGTGTATGTGAAGTGAAATCTGGTTAGGAAAGTTATTCAATATTTTTAAAGGATTATTAATACAATTCACAAAAGTTAGTGTTTTTGCTTATAAATAGGCAGATGTTAGGTTGTAAATGATTTAAATTAAATCAATCTACCTTAAAAGTTACCATCTACCAAAAATATACTCACTACTCAATGTACTATGTGAAAGTAGAGCATGCGGATAAAATGCTAATGACAAACATTGCACATGAATAGCAAACAGCCTTCAGCCCTGGAAAAGCCTCAGAATAGGGACGCTGGTATGTATCGCTGCTCTTCAGTGCAGGGCTGTCCTGAGGGCATCTATCTAAAATGAATGTGGCTTGACTTCCAGATCAATGTATTCCAGACCAGAATCAATGAGCAGCAGAAGTTGTGAGTAACTGATAATGAGTAGTGTGAGCCTCTCGGTTGTGTGTAGTCTTGCTGCCCGTGTGTTGAAGGGCCACACACACACCAAGCTTCGGACAGGGGAGAACAACTCAGTCACAAAGAAGGTGAAACTAAAAGTCTGTGTTGACGATGAACCGCAATGTGGTTGTTGAATACCGTGGGAGAAGTCAGATATTCGTTTTACTTCAGACAGGCAGTTTAAAAATGATCAGCTGATCTGGGCAGACTAGAGGTGAGTCAGTGGAACTTCTCTTGCCCAGCTGAGCTCTTCTTCAGGGTCTCAGGGTCCGCTCTTTGGCTCAGCTGGTGCCGAATGTTTCTGCTGTCGCTCCTTTTGCTGAGCCAGTCCTCCATGTTTGCCCCCCCCCCCCAACAGGTCAATCTGCTCCAGCATCGCGTCGAGGACAGTCAGAGGTAAGTAGAAGACACCATACTCTCAGCTCATACCAGTGCTGAAAGTATCTCTACTGATAGAGTAGTTGTTTTGTCTTCATTTAAAGAGCCTTGGGTAATGTTGAGATTTATAATGTGTTGCATAATCTCTTGCAAACCAAGGCCTTTTAACCTCACATCATCCTACTTGATGTAAAGTGGGAACATGTGACGCAGTTTTCTCACATTTTCTATGGCTGTTAACAAGTATCATTTAAATTGTGAGTTTGACTTGTTTTATGCTGTATGCCATAACAAAGTCATCAAAATATTAGAGTGTGTTAGAAAACATTCCTAGCAAAGCATGTTAAAATAAAAAGTAACAGTATATTGAAAAAGGTCATGGTCTCCCCTGGAAAAGAAAGTAGAAAGCAATCTTTCATAAGGTTTGCCATACTGTATTGGCTTCTTAACCTGCTTCATCTGAACTCTTTTAAACGGATTTGTATAACATTATTAAACGCTCCGTTATGCATGTCGATCTTTTTAGGCAGAAGAAAAAGTTATGATTAGTTGTGATTCAGGTAAAAAAAAGTCAACTTCCTGCTTCCAAGGCTAATATCTGGTAGGTTAAGGTGGTTTGGGAAGTTACACAAAATAATAACAAAGGTAAGTGCTGTTGAGTGAAACTAGTGTTGTGCCCTTTTCTAATGGCATGATGCTTTCCTGTCTGTCCTCCCCTCGTTATGTTTCAGTTTCAGGGCCAGTGTATTTAGAGGGTTACGTTGGCTGAAGCGAAATTGAATATCGTAATACAATGTTTACATTAACTTAAATGTCCCCCTGGGATAATGATATACAAATGCAGCGGGTCTACTGTGTTTGTCAGCCAAACGATACTCTGGGTGTTTCTCAATGTCAAGGAAGGATGCTCCAGAGCCACTATTTCAAGGATGCTACGTCATCGAGTCCCGCCGAAGGACTGTTCCAATGTCCAGGCTCCTTGGAATTCTACCGAGCCCGGCGTCCTTCGTAGCGAGAAATTTCGAGGCTGCACATGTGTATCCTCCGCGGTCTTAAAATCCCCACAATGCTTTGCGCACGGACCAATTTCCAAATCTTTGGCGGAAATCGCACTCCATTTAAGGCGGGGCCTCGCATATGACGCACACCTGTTCCACCATTCTTTGTTTTCCGAGGCTAGGAAGGATTCTTGCCTCGCTTCTGAAGGAAGTGACTCGGAAGACATGTCCTACTAAGGAAGCGTCCTCGACATTGAGAAACACCCACTGGCTCTAGATGTAATGTTACCTGAAGGCCACCGTAGTTCTTGAGTTTGTAAAACTGACTGATTCTGTTTGATTCCACAGCGCCAAAGGAAGAGGAAAGGGGGGCAAGGGCCGGCTGAGGTAGACTCAAACACCAGCAGCTCTCCAAGGAAGCGTCGGAAAATAAGCAGCAGTATTCACTTTGGTGACAATGGTGTACGCTTAAACAAAGAATGTGTGCTTTTGAGCTTAACATTGTTAACTAGTGGATATATTTATCTTACCAATCCCCATACTTGTCAGTTAAATAAAGCAATTGAAACAATCTTTGCAATTAAATACCTTATTCTGCAAACATACACAAAGAATCACAGTGCACCATACATTTCACATGTAGGCAGATATGTAAACATGACAGGACTTACCGCAGCAAGCAGTGCTCGACATCCTTTTTAAATAACACATTAATAAATAAAAGCTTCTGGTGGCAAAATAGTGACAGGATGATGGGCTTTCTATACAAGTACAGTGTCGGGACAACAGTGCAGAAAATAAAGTGATGCAGGACTAACATCTAGTGAACTGATCCCTGCTGGTTACATTATGACTTGAGGTTTCATGGTTTCTGACAGCTACTCCTGTATGAAACTGTTACAGATGGGGAGATAAATGTTTTACTTTTCTTATATAACCTAGAACTGGAAAGGTTACCTTAGTGCAGTGGAGGCAACAAACTGAAAGTACCTTTGCTGCACTCCAGAAACCGTGGGTGGCAACTGCAGTAACTAACAGAAGCAGCGCATTTTCACATATTCTAGACAACACTGAGCATTTTAAATAAACGATTAACTTACATTTCTTTCTGTTGGCTTGTAAGCCGAGGAGACCTACTTTGAGCAGGGATCAGAACAGTGCATTATCATGGTTACTAATCCAAACTTCATGTTCAGACACGATGAGGAGAAACCAGGTTCAGCTGCCTCGGTTCACTCTTCACCACAGATGTGTTTCCCTGATCTCAGCAATCACCTGGCTGGCTTTTTGCAATGCCTGTGGACAAAGTAAATAAAAAACAATGAAATGACTGATAAAGGAACCACTTTATGAAACACATGACACCATGGAGGGTACGGGGAGTGTATATTACCTGTAGCATGTCGGCAGCCTCCTTGCGCCGCTGAGCCATGTCCTCTGACTCAGTGAGCAGCTCGTTGAGGAGGCCCAATTTATACAGCTGGCCTACCAGCTCGCTCTGGAGGCTGTCCTTCACATGGTTCACCAGGAAGTGCATCACTGCTTTGGGCACACTGCGAGGGAGAAACGGAGCCAACAGATGGTTGACAACCAGGAGGCAAGAAGGCCGGCTGATTGTGTTCTCCCCCAGATGGATGGGGGGGGGGGGGGCCGAGGTCTGACCCTACAGGTGGCTGGGCCTGTCTAAGTACAAGCTATAAAATACATGCAATTAAAAGTAGCTCTAGTGTGGGGCTACACTCCGAGAAAATGGCTAATTAAAATAAATGTTGTAGGATATAAAAAGAGAATCCAAAGCAACATGTAGGTAGTGAACCAATTCTTGTTTTTCAGACATGGTTAGTTATTGTTATTAGTTTTTTATATGATGGCTTCAAAGCTACAAATACAACCAATATAAAGAAAAGGAAATAGCTGGCAACATTTTATATTTGTCCTATTGTAAATTACGGTATTTTCTTTAAGGTGCTGACCTCTTCAAATATTACGACAGAGACTCAAAGTTTACCTTCAAAAACCATCATAAACTTTTGAATGTTAAGAATTGAGTACAGCCCTACTAGTTTCATCCGTTAACCACTGGTGTTGGTGTTTTTATGGGATTTCTCTACAACAGAAACCAATCCCCAGACTTCTGAGGAGCGAGTTGGCCTACCTGTCCTGGATATTCTTGCGAACGATGAGGAAGTAAGACTTGATGAGGCGTTCGATGACCTCACAGTCCCGCTGCTCACGTGACGACAGCTTCCTGGCAGCTGGCACAGGCTGTGGGGGGCGGGGGGGGAGACGGTGTTTTTAGTAATGTTACCTGCAAAATATCTTTCATCGTGAGACATGTTGATAGGGTTGTGTTTAGTTACCACATCCAGCAGGTTGACAGCTCCTCTAAGGGGGCTTCCAGGTCTGGAGCTGGGGGCTTCGTCTCCTTTCTTCAGCATCCCCCTCCAGTTCCCTGTGCCGTCCTGCTCCCCCTGGGGCCCGGCTGACGGGGCCTGAGGAGCAAAACAAAAAACGATAAGAACAACAGACATCACCTCACCCACCCAGGCCACCAACTTATGGTATTAGCATAATGACAGGTTCATATGCAATAATGCAAACACAGGGCAAACAGGCACAAACGATTATAAGCTAAACTCTGAAGACCGAGCAGAGTACAGCCAGTAATTGTCATCATTCTTCACAATGCTGCGCTGAGCAGAAATGCTAACATTAGCATGCTCATATTCTCATGACAACACTAGAAGGCTGGTGTAATGCCAAGGTACATCAACAATCTTGGTTTAGCGTTTCAAGCTAATGTTAGCCAATTAGCATTGAATACAGAGTAGCTAAGGCATCAGAGAGGCTACAAGTTTTACATGTAAATGACGGTATATCTAGAGTTAAGGGGTTTTAGAGTTATTACAATTCATCCTGAGGGAAGAAATGTATGGCAGTCCCTTCAGTTGTTGAGACATTTAAATTAAAAAAAAAGCTAACTTTATGGTCTTGCAAGAGAGAAAATCAGAGGTTCACCAAGGCAAGTGGGTTTTGTCCTACTTGGCCACCATGAATGAGAAACATTTCATGGCAATCTATTTAATGAATAGCTGTGGAGATATTTCAGTCTGGAATAAAGCGTAGACTGATATTGCCATCCCTCTAATAAAGATTGCTCTGTAAGAGCATCATTTAGAAGAGAGACCCCTGGCCTGTTTTGGCATCGTGGCTGGTGTTCTCCCATTGCAAAATGTTCTCTAGTTAAACCTAATAATCATTTGAGAGAAAGTGTCATAATTGGAATCTAAATGATTGGGTTATGGCCAAAAATGTGTTTTGTGAGGTCGGTAGATGTTTGTGTCAATAATGAAGAGAAAATCCCTGCAGGCGTTTTGTGAGACATCACGTTCATGAGAACGGGATGGACGAACAACACCTAAACACAACGCCTCCGGCCGCAGCAGAGGAGGCGATTAAAGGTTAAGAGGAGGAAACAAAAGGAGAGGAAGGCATTTTCTGTCAGACAGGTGGAGCAGCTTTGGGGACACACACTCTGCAGGAACACAGCGGTGGTTAGAGCACACAGGCTGGGGGGGCAACACAGCGCACAGCACACAGAGCAGAGTGCATGCCAGCAGCAGCCCATGCTCATCCATCCATGCTCCACCAGCGAGCTGCGCCCACCTTGGCCCCCTCCATGTCTGCTCCACCCGCAGGAGGCTCGCCAGGAGCCCCAGAGAGGCCAGCCGGGCCCCTGCCAGCAGACTAGCAGGAAGAAGAAAGCAGGAGAGGAGAGAGAGAGAGGAGAGAAGCGATGAGGAGAAGTGGAGAGAGAGGAGAGGAGGCTGGCAGTGGAAAGCCTCTCTGAGGGAGATGTGGGATGAAATAGCTCAGTGGAAACTATCTGAGGCATCGGGATCGCAGGTCCTCATCCTGTGATTAACACCGCACTAGTCCCATTTAACTCAAGTATTAGACCAGCTGAGCTGCTGATAAATGATCAAATAAGGATGTTTCTTTTACCTTGTCCCTGGGCACTGCAGAGGGCAGCTCTCTCATCCTGTTTCTCCTTTCCTCCTAAAAAGCACATGTTGCAAATTATTATTATTATTAAGTCATCCTAAATCTTAAAGAAAAGTTCTTCTGATTATTCTGCTCCTTCCAAAAAATATATTTGTGTGTACCTATCTGCTATTTTGAATGATTTCCTAAATATCCAAAATGACCTACAATAACCTTTCCCACATCCCTTTGGAGGTAAAGAAAGGCCTGTAATAATTCAACTCTGAAATGTAAATTTGAATTTAGAGAAATGTAGAAACCAAATTATAATATGAAATATTCTAATTGAAACAATTTGTACTAAGGAATTTAAATCAATATAACGTTTGAATTCTCAAAGTATATTTTGTTGACTTTTTTAATTTGGTAAATGTTTTATTAATGAATGAATACAAGCTACTTTAATTCTACTGACTACCTTTTTAACATTGTCTGTAACATTTTCAAAATAGTTGAAATCAGGTTTTCAGAAACGTTGTCGGAAAAGGCAGAAGGTCAACTTTTTTGCTATAATTGTAGTTGGGTTTGTTTCTTTTGCTTACAAGCAAACAGATGAAATGACATCTATTGCTTTTTAAATATACCTACAAATATTGACATAGAACTCAAGGCCTAAAAATAACACCATGTTTCCACCTCTCCTCTCCTCTTCATTAAGAAAAAAGATGGTGTATGTTGGAGGGTTTAGTTGAGTACCCACCTCTATGTTATTGTTCATGATCCCACAGGCGTCTGCAAAGTCTGGGTGTTTGGTGTTGATGTAGGCCAGCTCTATGGCCACCAGGTTATGAACCTGAGAGAGAAGAGAGCAAACGTCAGGAGTCATTCAGCGTCTCGTGAAACTCTGCAGCTGACAGAAAGATGAAGCTACCATGTCGTTGGTGATGGGCAGCCTCTTCCTCAGGAGGGAGGTGACGACTTCCACTATGGCCTCGTGCAGCTTCGGGAACCTCTGCAGCTCCTGGAGGACGAGACATGATGAGTGAGTGTGAGTGTGAGTGTGAGTGTGTGTGGTGTGTGTGTGTGTGTGTGTGTGTGTGTGTGTGTGAGTGTGTGTGTGTGTGTGTGTGTGTGTGTGAGAGAGGAGCAGAGCTGCTGACCTGGGTGCTGTAGTTGCTGCAGTGCTGGATGATCCTCTGCATCTCCTCGTGGACCAGCTCCACGCAGCGCAGGCTGGGCTCCTCCAGACGCTTCACCTGCTTCTTCACCAGCAGCTCGAAGGAGATCTCCGGCACAAACAGGGACGGACGCGGGCCCTGGGGGAGGGGGGGGGGGGGGGGGGGGGGGGCTCAGGTTAGCAATACTTAGCTAGAGAGGAGTAGTAATGTATTATGCCCCATATATCTGGATCTGCAGGTCCTCTGCAACTCTAACTACTTTTAAATCCAGGCTTAGGACTTTTATTTCTGCCGCTGCTTTTAATTGAACTATATCTTACATGCAGTGTAACTTTTATTCATGTATTTTATACCTGTGTTTTTCTATATTAGCTTTTTTCATGTATATTTTATGCTCTTTGCTTTTTAATGACTGTTTTTAAATCATTCTATACTTAGATTCTGCTGCACTATTTCTTAATGCTCTTAATGTTTTCATTTTTGTAAAGCACTTTGAATTGAATTGTGTTGAAAGCCATATAAATAAATGTGCCTTGCCTAGAGCAACTTGTGTAAAGCTTTTCTATGTGCTTCCTTCACTAAACTGCACTAATGATGTCACAGTTATGGGATAGCGCAGCATGCTCACTGTTGCGTTCCTGATGGCGGTCAGGATGTCGATGGTGCCGAGTCCTCCCAGAGGATCCACCGACTCCAATGTCCGGCCAAAAGTCTCGTGGAATATGTAACAAATCCTGGCTCCGCCGCACCTGAAAAATATCAGCGAGGGGGGGGGTAAGCTGTGATGTGAACCCCGCGGCCCCCTCTCCTGTCAGCTCTTCCTCTGTGCGTGCCTCAACTCATAAGCTGAATCATATTAAATGATGAAACCAATGCAGTTGTTTTGCACATTGCTTCCCCCCACTCTGCTGGATTCACAGCGCCCCCCAGTGGCCGAGCGGAGGTACTCACAGCTCGGCCGTCTCGATGTACTTGGCCGTGCCTTCGATGGTGTTGCAGTACTCCGCGGCGAACTTGGTGATGAGCTGCAGCAGCGTGGAGCTCTGGTCCTCCACCGGCTCCCCGTAGCTGCTCAGCAGGGACTGGTACTGGGAGGCCAGCACGTTGATCCGGGCCTTCAGCTCGGGGAGGCAGTCTCTGATGTGATGCATCAGCAACCTGACAGGAAGGAGGAGGGCAGACGCTTCAGGAACTGTGTCAAATTATATGAGCTGTGATTGGTCAAGCTAAACGAATGAAAGACAACGCCAACATAACTTAGAACGACCGCCTGAGGAGATCAGGGCAAACTGTCTGCTCTTTTAAATCTCTTTTTTGAAATTATTTAATGTGTTTTTATTTGTGGTTTTTACTTCTGTTTGTTTTACTTTCTGTTTTATTTAATGTTTATTATTTAAATGTTGTTTTGATTATGTGAAGGCACTTTGTAACTCTGTTTGAAAGGGGCTAAATAAATAAACGGTATTATCTTAAAAAGGAACAGTTCACACCCAAATCAAATTAAAGTAGAAAGGACATTTTTCTCTATGAAATTCCATCTAGTTTTATCATATTGGAAAGAAGGCAGACATTTCTCCAAGCCACGGCAACTCACACTTACCGATGTCAACTGACAAATAGAACTTTCCTAGTCCTAGTGAAAGCTCATATATACAGCGTTTCTATATATCTGTTTCTGTTTCTTTATACACATGTACAATTTGTCATAGTAATATTTGGATCTTTTTACCTGTTGAGGGTTCTGGCCAGGTATTTGGTTCCGTTCCTGCTGGCGAGAGACGGATATTTCTTCTGCAGGAAAGCATGTTCGTCCCGAATGGCGTCGGCCACAGACTTCTTATTGTTGATGTCCAGCTGGCTCCTGAATTTTTAAATACAATAACACGTCAACAAACAATCCTTTGCCACAAAGGGTATCAAAAAAGAAATGTGAAGGAATGAATGGAGCCATTAATATATCATATCTTAAGTTGCCTGATGTACTGTGTATCATCATATTGTCTCTTATTCATTAAACTCAACCCAATGACAATGGATTTAAATATTTTATAATATAGAAACATCCCACGCTGAATTCCTTTATCACTGTCAATCCAAAAATATACATATTGACATCCAGCATTACATATGCATTATAGATGACCTTACAGTCTCTTGTGTCTGTTATGAGTGGTGGATTATATCAAAGTGTTTTCAGTACAGTAAGTCGTTTCCTGACCTGTTGACCACTCCAATGAGTCCCAGTTTCACAGGAATGACTCGGCCCATGAGCACGTCCATAGCGTCGGTGCCGGCGTCCATCAGGTCCAGCTTGGTCACCACAGCCAGGGTCCTCCTGCCTGGAGAGCAGAGGGGGGGCAGGATATTTAACATAGGTAAAAGCATTAATACTACAGTGTAGAAATATGAGGTTACAAGTAAAACCCTGCAGTAATTGTTTTGCTTAAGTAAAAGTACAAAAGTAGATACTTCCAAAACTAAAAGTATTCATTATGCAGAACTTTGTATTATATTACTGGATTATATGAGTGATGCATTAATGTGTTCATTTAAATCTTGTAGATAGTAAAGGTTAAACTAACTTTAATGACTTTTTATAGGGGATCTTAATCCAAAAGTATTTATACTTTGTATTAATAATCTGAATCTGCAAAGTAACTAATAACTAATTTTGTCGAAGTTAATGTAGTGATAACAGAGACGAAGCATAAAGTATTATAAAATGGAAATAATCAAGTAAAGTACAAGTGCCTTACAACTATACTTACAGTAAGAACATTGTGTGAGTACATTTACTTTCTAGCACTACTAGAGAATTGAACATCACATACATTTACAATACAATTAATTTAACATTTGCTGTTTTAGTCTCAATTAATGGTAAAAAAGTCAGCGATTAAGTTTTATTCACCCACCAAAAATGAGGTTTTTATAAAGGTATTTATAAAAGCTTATAGTAATTTCTCCCTTCCAGCTTCCCTTACCGTCGGGGTCGACCTCGCGGGCGACCTTCAGAGCCTCCGAGGTGGCCATGTCGGTGTTGGCCGCAGAGACAGCCAGGATGATGCAGTTGGGGTTGGAGATGTGCTTCAGGATTAGATCTTTTATCTGAAGCTCAATGTCATTAGGCTGATCACCCACGGGCACCTACAGGGGTCAATACCAATTAAGAAGAAAAGACACAGTAAATCTCAATTGGATGTATCACAAACGACAGCGGGGGGGATTTCTCAAATGAAGTCATGTTCAACCAGACGAGGACAAAATCAGAGCCTGCTCACACTGTGACAGCATGTGGTTAGGAAGCATCAAGACACAGTTACTAAATCCCTGCGGTCACGAAATATCAAATACACAGACTGTAGCATGGAAATGAACACCAGTGGTTGTATCTGGTATATCTTGTAGTCGTTTAGTGTTGTAGAACAAATTTCCCCGGGGGGGTACGAGATGATTAAAGCCTCGTCATGGGGAGTAGGAAGTACAGCATGCGTTACCTTAGTGATGCCAGGCAGATCCACCAGCGTGAGGTTGACAACGTGAGGAGAGAATATCTTCAGATGAATGGGATCATCGCTGATCCCCTGCAGAGGGACAGGAAGAGAAGACGTGTTCTGAGTGTTTAAAAGCTCAGCACTCCATCACAGGGCATATCAAAAGATTTTTTAAATGCTTTTTGGCAGACTTGGCCATTTTGGGTTTTTTCTACTGGCTGTCAAATCTGATGATAGCATCGAGAGGTTTTATTTATTCATATTTTCATCTTTAGGTATCCACGATAGCCCCCGTTTGTGCCTCTTATGTATTGTAGAAGTTGAGCCAGAAAAGTGAGCAACCCAATTAATTTTTCCTACTGTTATATGATACCTGTTATATGATAAGGGCCTTGTTTTGTACTGAAAACAATCAGTTTTTTTTTTTTTTTTTTAAATGTACAGGACTCAACATCCATGAATGAGCCTTATATGCAAACTGAACTAACTTTAAGACACATTGTTTATAGATAATAATGGAGAGAGGAAAACTCTCCAGCTCCAAACGTTCTCCTCTCCTTTGTAGCTACTTTGGTTAGCTTCTTTTTAGGAACATCCACCACCCACAAACAAATCCAGACACGGCTTCCATTCTCACAGCCCAGCTGCCACTCATTCACCCTAATCATCACCATAGCCTGCCCCCCTCCCCACCTCTCTCTTCCTCTACCTATGAAAGGCAGACTGATTTCCCTCTGCAGCCCCAGCACTGCCCTCAATAGGAGCTGCTCCTTATTGCAGGGTGAAAGTAACATTTACCTCATGCTTGATGTATCTGAGTGACGTACTACATTTGTTTCCCATCAACAGTACTGACTGCGGTTGAGACACCAACATTTCGGGTTCCTTATTTAACAGTATAGATGTAAAGCCTTCTCACCTTATTAGTCCCCGATATTCGCTCCGTTTCATTTTCTATTTCTTGCCTGATTTCTTCAAAATCTGTGAAGATCTGCAAAAAGAAAAAAAAGAAACAGCATAAATAGAAGCAAAGGTAAAGAGAACTTATTAAATATTGTGCATCATAAAAATATATACCTGATTTTTTGTGTGCAGAAATTTGCCCCACTCTTCACCTTCTCTACCTATGAGAGAATCAAACAGTATGTGTTACAGTTGTAGCGTAGAATTCTCAATTGTGGAAAAGGTGTTAGCTATAACAACACCAAAGACAACTACTAAGGCTAAGAAAGCACGGCTAACAGAAGCAATGGACACCTTACAGTGACAGGTTGGTGACTAAAGCAGCTGGAAACACAAATGTAGCGTAGAAAAGGAGGTAGCGGCACTAAGAAGCTAATCCAGGTTATTTGGAATAAACCTGTACAATGCACCTTTGTAAAGGCACAGTGCTTTTTTTCACTCTCTGGCATCTGCAAATGATAAGAAACACAATCACAAAAACAGAACTTTAAAACCAGTGCAGGTTCACTGAGCACCTGCAAATGATATAACTTAAACAAACTGGACACAAAAAAAACAATAGGCTTGTTCCTGGAAGCAAAATCAAAAGACAATGTGTGACTATGGTCCAATTGGTCTAAGACACTGCTGACAGAGGGATTTCAGGGCTTACCATCTTCATGTTTCCTGGCATCTCCAGGTTCTACATGGACCAGTTGGAGGATGAGAGGCCGCCTGGTGACGACGCCGGTCCCCCGAGGAAGAAGGTCCCGGCCCACCAGGCTCTCCAGCACCGAGCTCTTACCACTGCTCTGTAGACAGAAAACAGATACACACAGGTTAGATGAATAATGAACCAATGACAACTTCTCCTTCAGATTTAACACACCACTATAGCCCTGATATAGAATAGATAGAATTGGAGGGATGAAACCCTCTTTAATAGTCACACATGCAGAGCACACAGCACACACAGTGACATGTGTTCTCTGCATTTAAATAAATGCACCTGTTTTTAATACAAATAATAACCTGGTGTTGGCTAACAGGGGCTTGGTTGTGGATGAGGCTCTAAAAATAGCACTGATTAAATATGATTAAAATAGATTTCTGCCAGTGCCAGTGCACACTTTGAAAATGAATAAATACAGTCATCATGCATATGTCGACAAAGGCCTCAATATATTTACTTCACTGTTAACTATTGCTCTAAAAATTACAATATCTCTTGTAATAATGTTATATTTAACTGTGCATGCATTATGGTATAGCATGGTTCTCTTGCTAGCATGCACACATGCACACAGTCATTTTTACCTGAGTCCCTACAACTGCTATCTGCGGCAGCTGTATGATATCCGCCCCCACTGTGTTGAAAACATCTTGCAGCTTGTTTATTACGGGAATAAGAGCCTCCATGCTCGCGGTTTATGAGTAAAATTAATAAACCTAGCTAATTTCGTGATGGAGCCAAAGTCATTCAATGTCCCACTGACACCACCATTGCAGCAACACCCACTGGAATATAGCTGTTGTGTGGTGTTGGGAGTTGTAGTTCTCTAATAGGCACGAGCTACAGCTCAGACAGAGGAAAAGACTACAGCACTTGTTCGCTGTAAAAATAACGCGATAGTTTATTTTTTCGCGCATGCGTACACGTCTTGTTTATGACGGGCTAGCTTCGTTAGGCCAAGTAGATTGGATGATTTCGTCCGTCTAAATTGTAACTCACTGCCTTCTTTTGAGTCAGTATTTCGTTCTACTGCTGCCAAACCTTCGTTACTCCAACATGCTACAGTTCCTGGTGAGTTTAACTAACGTTGTAATGCATGACAGTCATTAACATTTACAAGGACGCTAAGGGATGCGAAACTAGACAAGCTAACGTGATAGCATAACTTGCTGTCAAAACTCTTGACAGTTTTAATGAACACCTCTACTGTAACGTTTGTGAATAGTGACAAATGAAAAATAGGCGTAATTTACCATCAGTTTAGTTAAACGTGGCATACAAGTCACTTTAACTGACCTCAATTTGTAATCATGAGATGCTACTTTATCAGTAAGTCGGACATGTTGGCCTCACGTGACTTTTGCTCCTTGTCTTTCAGGCTGGCTTTACCTTGGGAAATGTCGTCGGGATGTACCTGGCTCAAAACTATGATGTAAGTTTGTTAGCGTATTTACCTATTTTGAGTAAGTGAAGTAATCTGCTTGTCACGCTGACCCCCCTCTACCGGACAAAGCCAGGTAGTCGGACAGGTGCTGCAGAAGGTCGTCATTTTAATTGGTAATATAAAACTAGTTGATACCAAGTCAGTCCTGCAATACATCTTAGTTTTATAAAAGGTAACAATTTTGAGTTATGTTGATTTAACTTTATGACCAAAAGTATGGTCATCCTCATAGGACACACATAATTAGAAACACCTTTCTATATAATAACTGACCACTACCTTCAAATTTGGCAAGGCGTAGCTAAATCACTGACATCTAAATATGTGCATTAGATTGGATTGACCTTACTGCTTGTTCCTTTCTAGGTCCCCAACTTAGCCAAGAAAATCGAGGCTTTTAAGAAAGACGTGGAGGCCAAGAAGAAGCCCCCAGAGTGAGCATCCGGACCATGATGCAAAGCAAGCAGATGCAACCCTGGAGAGAAACTATTTATTTTACATGGCTATGTTACAATGAGTGTACATTTGATAATATGATTGAGAATATTAACAGTGCCTGGAACCACACTTATTTCTAACCTTTAGTTGTATAGGCATGTTCTCATTGTAGCCTATTTTTATAAGATAAATTGTACAAAAACTGGATTTAAAGAATATAACAACTGACTGGTGGGAACACTTTGGGTCCAGTATGGCACTGTTGCCTTTTCTATGATGCACTATGGTGTGATAACTTGCACATAACATTAATTATATTCACATTAGGTGTACACAATGTTCTTTAAAGGGAATTTTAATAGAGCATTCAGTTGTTCTCTTCTGTTGTATTCCACATAATCAAAAGGTTTTCCTTGACAAGTTTCTGGTGTGAAAAATAACTGCCAAATCTTGACATTCGTGAATCTGAATCATTCAGCTTACAATAAAGTTGCTGTTAAGAAGTTTTTGCCTCGTGAATGAAGTAAAGCTTGATTGGCACATTTCAGTTTTCAGGAAAAAGACAATACATACATTTTTATATCTGCTTTGCACTGGTTCTAGCACCAAGTACTTGGTACACATGGGTTGTCAATAAAAGTGTACACAAGATGGCGCCATTACAAGGCATTAATGTTACACATTTTTGCCAAAAATGTAGAATATTCATTATATTTGGCAAAAGAATATATAATAATTTACTTTTTCTTCTTGCGCTTTGTTCTTTTCTTATTCGTCTTCTTTTTATTTGAATTTGGCCATCCAAAGCCTCTGAACTGCAGACAGTCCATTGCATTGTGGGAAATGTAGTAGACGTTCTCCATGGCTGCTGGGCTGAGGAGGTCCACATCTGTCTTGGTGGATTTGGCACTGGGCGACCTCTTTTTGGGTGTTTTTGGACCCCCAGTCTTCTTGGCGGGCTGAGAACTTTGAGACCTGGATTTGGTTGGCTTGATAAAAGATACAAGTGTCGGTTTACCAAAGACTGGCTCCTGTACTTACCTTATTGAATAGTTTAAAAGTAAATATTGCATTTTCTTTACCATGGTAAAAGAAGTCAAGGTCACTTCAAAAGTGGTGAGAGATTATTCACCCATCTGTAAAATGACATGCATACAGAGGAATGCAACAAATAATAGATAATTTTTCTTTCAGATAGACAAGATGATTTAATCGCTATCTTGTACATTAAGTGCTGTTTTAGAACAGCTTCAATGCTTGAAATTGTCAAGTTAAATAAATAAGCGTATATTTTACCAGTTCTGGACTTGGCACGGCTGTAAGTGGCATCTGAATGGCTTCAACTGGGACAATGAGACCCTATTTGTGTATGCCTTGTTGTCGTAGAGACGGATCACTCACTGATGAATGTAGGGGTTGGCTTCAACAAGGTTGCATCCAAGTTACCGCTAGGCTAAAAAACAACACCAAGCTAACCATAGATTAGTGCAGAAGACAAAAGCTAAATGCTGGGTAAATAATTTGTTCAATAAGAGCCCACAGACAGCTATCTTTGAATGTTTTTATTTGTGATACAGTTGAATTTGTCACTTAAGACAATAGGCTTTCAAATTCTTTGGATATCCTCACCAAAGGTTTCTGTTTTTAAAAGCCCTTGCATTCACTTTGTGAAAGTGTAGTTGACATCACTGTAACATCTAGGTACATTCAGTGAATGTAAACCAGTGGAATACCATGCAGAAGATCTTGGAATCTCTCAATCATGCAATACAAATAAATATTATTACCATAACAAGTATGCAGTCATTGTGATTATAAGAAATCCAATATGGACCCAAGAAACTTGTCAGTTGTGAGCGAGACACACACAACCCCAAAATAAAAATGCGCTGTACACAAATTATATCTGACATCATGTTTATCAATCAACCGTGTGCCGATCTACTGCAAGGGCTTTATCCAAGCAATAATGATTTGTTGTGGAGGTTTGTGGATCATCTGCATAGAGCCATATTTTTCTTTAAAGGCAATTTATGGTTTAAAAAGCCTCCTTTGCAGCAACACAACAGCTTTGTTTTCATGTAAACTGATACTTAGAAGTACTTCAATAAAAAGTCAAGTTCAGCATAAGCATTGCTGATCCATGTGTGATAAATACAAAAAAAATGTTAACCAGTGTCAGGGTTTTATTGACCCCGACGTCCTTAATTTATGGTGTTTCAAATTGGTGGCAGTGATGCAGGAGCACAAAGACCGTTATACTGAAGAGCTTCGTACGCTGAGGTCATTGAAAGGTGGAGTTATTGTGTGGTGACGAGCTGGACGATCATGCCGATGATGCGGGAGCCGCGGGGACACGTGCACAGGTCCATGCTGGGGCTCCTGATCTTGTCCTCCAGTAGCTGGTCCAGCTCCCAGCGCAGCTCCTTCACCAGCTCAGCCACCTGCGCAACACACATGGTGGAAGTTAGCTTCTGCGACACCATGTGGTGAAACTCGTTCTAAAGGTAACTGAGTAGAAAAGGGTGAGAAGCATGTGGTGACCTGGGGCGCACTTCATCAGGTGCCAGTGTGAAGTTTATTTAAAGTTAAACCAATAGAGCGGACCGTAAAGAGCAGAGAACTGGAGTTACTTCCAGTTATTATTTTTTATATTGCTCATGCATTTATTTATCATAATTTAACTCATATATCTGTTTATTTCAACTTTACCTCTAACTATAAATACAGAAAATGTAACATTACAAATACTTTTTTTATTATGCTTATTAATAAAAAAGAATTACATAGAGACAACATAAATAATAAATAACGTTATAAACAGCTTCACTCACTGAAGTTTGGGCCATTTTATTTATCATAAAAATGTCACCTTGCTACTAAATTTCAAATAAAAAAAGACAGAAGCCCGTAAAGAACTGAGTTAGAGTGACATCAAGTTACCATTTACATTATTCATCATTAATAAAACATATCATACCCTATGAAAACAGACAATGATATTAATATTATGCTTATTATTACTATTTCATGTGACAACATAGTGATTAGTGCATTGTTTTCACCATTGTTTTCAAAATGTCACTTTGCTATTCAATTCCAAATAAGAAAGATGATTACAATGTCACTTTTGAGGATATGTGCAAAGAAATTCCAAACAGCTTTGTGCATATTAACCTAAACTATTAAATCTGTTTACTGTTCTTCCTGACCTGATGAGAAGAGGCGGCAAATCGGATCCACCCGTCGTCGAGGGAGATGACAAACTCTCCCTTGTGCAGCTCCATGTGGACCTGCCCGCCTCCGAACAGCACCAGCGGGTACACAGACACCATGCTGCAGTCCCTGATGAAGACTCGGCTTGTCTTCACCTTCTCGTGGTAAACCAGGTACGGGCTGTTGTAGTGGCGAACCTGCGGCACAAAGAAGGGTTTCAACAGGCTGGCCACTCTACCTAGCTGCTGAATACTATACATCGGTTCTTTTTATCTCACTGCGTAGTTGACAGACGACGGGTGGATGTGGACGGCGCCGTCGTTCTTCGTCATGAAGCGGAGCTCGTGGGCTTTGGGCTGCATCATCATCGCTCCTTTGCTCGTCATCTTGTAACTCCCCTGAGGAGATCGTACCTGCAACAAAGAGTTAAAGAGTGTGAAACCAAGTGTGTATAATAGGAAGGGGATAGTTTTGTAATGTTCAACACTTTCCTCAGATTGTTATTCCAAAGGACAGAATGAATACAGACCTGGACCACATTGGGATAGAGCGCAGCACAGAGCATGGCGGACATCAGCTTGATGTTGTCTGAGTTCAAGTTAGCCTGAAAAGGAATGATATATACTGTTATACATTTATTACATTCGCTTTAAGACTAAGATTGTGGAGTAATACATAGTATATGTTTGCTTAAAGGCAGATTAAAAAGAAATATGCTGTCCTATTCTATTTAAAATTCTGCAATGATATTTTAATGTTTATTTGAACAACAAATAAAACCCTGTGTGTGTTACCTCGTGGCCGGTGGCCTCCAGAACGCCATCAGTGCCTTTAGAGCTCATGCGCTCGATAACCCTGGCCCTCAGTCCCTCCTTGATGAAGCCGATGTCAGACAGCAGCTCAGCAAACTGCCTCTTCAGACTGGCGATCTCCTGCACAGGCGATAACAGACATGTTTTTAAGAAATGTATGATTTGGGGAAGTTACACAATTGTAGAAGAGGCGCTTTGGACAGCACTGCCTCACCTGTAAGCCTCGTGAAGACAGGAAGTTCTCCCTGCAGTAGAGGAAGCCGGCCTGGTGGCCATTCTTAGCAGCGCAGCACCATCCCTGCAAAGAGGGGTAGTCCATCCCATCAATCATTATATCATTTATACAAGCTAGGCTAAAGGGATGGCTCGATCTTTTTCATGTCCAATTCTGATACTTTTGACACCGGTTCCATTCAATTATAGTCTTTCCCCCTCTCTTAAACTTGTCACTAATACATTTGTATGGATGCACTTTGCTTAACCTAACCAAAAAACATCATGCTCACAACATTATTCTGTCATTCTAGTGAGTCAGTACCTTGTATGCCTGTACCAGAGCTAGATGGTCACTACTCGCCACGGCAAAGGCCACTTTCTTCTCATTGGCTTCTTCTCGCTTATCCCATGGAGACACCTGGAACACAGACACAGGACCAGATAGAGAAAGTATTTTTAATTAAAAAAGAAAAAGAAATAAGGTGTCACAAAGATCAAGTAGTTAGTTATGGATAATAAATCAGAATTATGATGCAAGCAGTTTCTTACAAAGGGCGATTTGAAGGCCAGACTGGCAGCGATAGTGAGTGCAGGGTCGAGGCAGCGGAAGATGGCGCCGAACAGCATGAGTTTCCCGATGCGCACGTCGACGGGCAGGCAGGCCAGGTGGTAGCCCAGCGGGGTCAGTTTCTCATCGTCAGTGAGGGCCCCGAGGTCCCGCAGGCGCTGCTTGGCTGCGTCTAAGCTCTCCATAGCTGGGGGCTCGATGAGCCGAGTGAAGACGGACTCCAGCATCCGATCAGCAAACAAGTCCAGGATTTTGATTCTGTTAAGAAGGGGGAAATGGTAAATACTAGTATGGGGAATTCATGTTTTGAATATTCTAAAATCGGATATTGTGCTGGAGGTAAGGCCTCTCTGGATAGAAGACCTCTTTTGTGAAGGCCATTTTTCTTCTTTTTTAATTTGCATTTACAGAGGAGGTTGGCATTGTGCAAAGAGCAAACAGATGGATGTACCGGAGGCAGAGCTGCTCTAGAGGCACTCTCTGGATCTCAGGCAGCTGCTGCTCTGCCAGCTGGTGTTGGAAGCAGTGGCTGGTGAAGAGGTGGAAGCAGACCCCCGAGGCCACGCGCCCCGCTCGACCCTTCCTCTGCAGAGCGTTGGCCCGAGACACCCACGAGTCCTCCAGGCTCTCCATGCTTTTAGTGGCATCGTATCTGAAACAAATTAAAAACAGAAATTAGAAAATTCTACAATACTCTCTCCACATCAGATCAGATCTAAAGACAGAATATAAAAACATTTACATACAGTTCATCTAAAGAGTTAAACTGATGTCTAATCACTTTAGCCAAACTTGAGGCCGTTACCTCTTCTCCTTCATCTTGCCGGAGTCGATGACATATACCACGTCGTCAATGGTTACCGAGGTCTCAGCGATGTTGGTGGAGATGATAATTTTTGTGACTCCCTCCGGGGGTCGGCGGAAAACTGCCTGCTGCTCCTCATTGGACAAGGTTGAGTGGAGTGGGTACACTTCACATCTATCAATGAGAAATACATCCACATTAGTTAGTACCCTTTGATTACTAAAGTGTTTACCCACTCACTGAGACCATTTGATCAAACTGTTTCTTCCTGAACTCTGGAGGCACAAAATACAATTATAAACCTGAAAATAAGCATAATAGCCAAATACAGACACAAATGATCTACTGTTTTCACTTCTATTGTGAACTGGGTCTCTCAATATTGTATATGCTGATTATTACTTATTTTACCCGTTTGGTAATGATTTTGTCCAACTCAAAGCATTTATTAAAATCATAAGGATTGTGTGTATATTTTACATTTGTATAGCTATCAAGAAATTCAGGTTTGGCTCTTAAAGTAAAAAAAATAAAATGGCACAGTGTGGGGAATATGAACAGTGATAAATAACAGGAATGAGGTTGCTGCAAGTATGCAGGGTTTTAGACACAGACCTGGATTTGCCCCTGTTGTTGAACATTCTGTTGGACTTGAGCTGCTCGTACAGCGTCTTGATCTCAGCCAGGCCTGGCAAAAACACTAGCACTGCACCTGGAGGCAGAACAAAACGTTACAGTTTTCACACTCCAACTCTCAAAGAGTCTTGAAATCTCCTCGACTATAATAAGTACTCATGAGTGTTTCTTACCTGGAGGGTAGTCGTGATTTCCATCTACAATCCAC